GGGGACGGCCGGTAAGTGCGGGGGGCCGCGCCGGGCCTCGGGCTCTCTGCTCCGCGTCCCTCGTGTTGTGGGCCTCGGGCTCCGCTCCCGGCCCTGTTCTCGTTCACATTGGCCCCAAGTCCTCGGCACTGGAGCGGGCGGGCGGGCGGGCGGGTCGGTCCCGGGCCCGTGTCAGTCCCATGACCCGGTGGCTGCTCCCCTGGAGGCCTCCTCGTCCGGGGCGTTCCCGCGGTTAGGGCGGTTCCCGGGAAGCGGTGCGATGGAAGCACCAATGAGAGAGAGCGGTGTGTGTCTGCCACTAAATACCCCTCCATCCACGTCTGTCCCTGGGTAGGTATCTCTGGCTAGCTGTGTCTGTGTAGAGACATCTCACTATCGATACAGAGGTAGCGAGAGAGTTATATTTTATTCTTAAACAAAAAAAAGTTTCCTTGTGGGTATCGGCCCTCGGGCAGCACCGGGCCGGCGTCGCGCGCGGGTGTCCCCCGGCCCCTTGGCCGGCCCGCTGTGCTGCAGGCCCCCCTTGGGACACTTCTTATTAGCCCTTCACCTGCAATCCCATCCCGTCTTCCCATTCGGTGGCCCCTTGAATCTGCGGTTGTGTCCCCAGTCGCCTTCCTCATTAAGGGAGGTGTCAAGTTTTCCCCCCATGCCCCATCACACAACACACGCACGTACGTGAGTCACAGGATGCGTCTACACACGTGCTTTAACGCACGGCAGCTTTTTCTACCGCACGTGAAAGCGGTGCGTAAAGAGCTGTGCTAACGCTCAGTAGAAAAGGTTTACTTTTAAGCGTCACTTAAAAAAAGCACGTGGTTGCGCTATTGTGCATCAGTGCAGCCGAATGTGCGTTTATTTAGTACCTCATTTTGGAGGGATTAAATTTAATGCGCATAAGTAAAAGTGCGTTAATGCGTGTGCAGATGTGCCCGCAGAAGGAGAGCAGATGCTGAAGGGGAGAATGAGCTGGGTTTTTCCACTGCTGCTCTTCCCCCCCCCCCTTGCAGCTTACAGCGTTTGAGGTCTAGGACAGCGCTTCCCCACCTCTGGCAGATCGCGCACCACCCATTTAAAAGGATACAACCTTTAAGAACCACCAGCAAATATTTCAGTTCAGCTTTAAGTACCACCAACAGATTTTTGTCATATAAAGTAATTGTAATAAGTCTGTTAATGCGTACCACTGGCAGGTTGTCCACGTACCACTGGTGGCACCCGTACTACAGTTTGGGAGCCACTGGTCATGGGGGAGGTCTCATTCGGAGGCCGTTCCCTTAATGTCCACGTTCAGTAGCTACCGATGCCCCTTTCCTGCAAGAATGTGTCCAATCCCGTTGTGAATCCACCTAAGCTGTCAGCTTTCACCACATCTGGTGGCAACGAGTTGCACAATTCAAGGGCATGCGGTATGAAAAAGAACTGCCTTTTGTTAGTTTTAAACTTACCACCTAGTAGTTTCATTTTGTGACCCCCCTAGTTCTTGTATTGAAAGAAACAGTAAACGATAAATCCCTGTTGACTTTCTCTTCACCGTTTAGTATTTTGTAAACCCTTCTCATGTCCCCCCCCTCAAGCATCTCTCTTCTAAACTGAATGGGTCTGGCCTGGCCTCTTTGGTCTCTTTTCCTATAGACGCCCTAGGATGGGACTGATCATCCTTGCTGCTCTTCTTTGGACCCTCTCTAGTTCTGATATATCCTTTTGGAGGTGTGGGGACCCAAACTGGGCACAGTTTTCAAGATGTGGACAAATTATGGATTTATAAAGGGGCGTAATGATACTTTCTGTTTTGTTCACAATTCCCTTCTTAAGGATAAACTACAAGCCTTTGTTTCCAGGAATAAATCTGTGGAGAATGTCCACACTGGCTTCTAGAAATGTGTTAGCTCCCTTGATGTAAATTGGCAAATTGAATAACTTGAGGGGAAGAGAAGTCTAGTGTAGACTTGCTGTTTTGAGGGTTCCTGTAATAATGGTGGGAGGAAATCAGTTTGGCAGGTCTACCCATTGCCAGGGCAAATGGAAGATGTTTGGAAAAGAAATGCAAACCACACCAGGAGTTTAAGGGATTTTATAATAAACTCTCTGTGCCTTGTGGAGGCTCTTTCAATTCTTGGGGAGTTATTGGATTAAATTAAGTTGCAACATGTGGTGTCACTCCAGAAGGGCAACACTAGGCCCGTGGAGGAGGAACGGAGCTCCACAAGTCTTAGTCTCTAGAGGTCTTGGTTCTAGATGGCGTGGGCAAGCAGAGGAGGAGGAAAAGGCAGATGTGCTCATCCTCTTTGAAACTCTGACAGCATAGGAGAGGGAGGGCAGCTGAGGAGGAAAATTCAGAATATAAAGTAGATCCTAAATTTCATTGCAGTGGAAGCAGTAGACTTAGAAAGTCCTGCTCTAGATAGTCTCCTATACTAGGAAAACAGCTGGAAGGGGCAGCGGTGGAGGAGGAGAGTTCATATCTCATGGCCTTGCCTTCAGCAGATTCCTGTGCGTACCAGCTTTGGTGCATGGCAGAGGCCCAAGCTAGGCTCTGAAGGTCACACCTCAACACAATGAATGACTCCAGTGAGGTCGCACACAAGATGGTTCGGCTTCCCCCTGCCTATATCTTTCCTGAGTAACAGCTTAGTGACACTTACTCGACCGTGTTTCATTTCTGTTGCTCAACAGCCTCGCAGCTGAATTTGGGAAGAAGCGTACCTGATCCTCATGCACTTCACTAATGCCACCAAAGCAGATATAGCAGCGTTGTCCAGAGGTGGAAATAACAATCTTTCCTACCTCATAACCCCCCAAAATTGATGAGCCTTTGAAAGATGGTCAGTTATGTTCATGAAGTCATGAACACACAGTACATATTGTCTGCTGTAGAGTATATCAGTTTCTACAGAAAGACAAAGTGAGGCAGTTGGGCTTAGATTTTGAAACAAAGCCCCATGAAATCACCATAGAAGTAAGAAACTGCTTTGCTTGCATGAAACAATGACAAGAGACGCATGCTTGCTGTCGAAACACTTCACCAATTCAGTAAGGAGGCAGTTATTTTTGGAGCCTCAGGGTTGGCTGTGGTCACACTGTTTTCCTGATAACATCTGGTGTGATGCATGTAATAAAGTCCAGCAGTTGGTGGTTTAATTTGCTGAGATTTGCCATTGGCAAGGAAGAGAGGATTAAAGAAATTGTTCTTAATTTCAGTGTATGCATATGGTCCAAATCCTGGTCTGGACAGATTATGGTCCGGTGTGGACTGCAAATCACGATTGTTCTTGGATTACAGCTGATGCCTTAAATCAGGGTAGCTTCTGATCCACCACCACCTTGGAGTGTTTTAAAGAGAAATCAGTTCTCGTTTAGTAAAGCTTTTCACACCGTTGTTAATATAATCAATTCTTTGATCCTTTGCTTTGAGAGAATAACCCCTTTTTTCCCTGTGTCTATTTACCACACTGAAGTCTGGGCCTGTTACTGGACTATGGATCAGCTGGGATATGTCCGAAGTGCTTCCACCCAGGGTGCCAAAGATGGATTAAGCAAGCTTGCTGTCCCTCAGAAGAATGCTTATGCCAGGCTGGTACAGAAACACCACAGCGGGCGATTCCGATCCTATTTAAACCACATTGCCCAGAAGATGCAGCTCGAGGAGAGTGGCCTCAATGACTCCAGTTCCGATGTTGAGCTGTCCCTGAAGAGAGTCCAGATGAAAGAGGGTCTTGCAAGAAATGGGCTGAACGTGCCTAGCTCCTCGCCAGTCAGAACATCGCAGTTGGAACAGCTTGTGCCTGGGGGACTGAATGAAGATAAAACTCAAACTTTGGCTAACAGACGACCTCACAAAAAAGATCCCAGCGTTGCCCATGAAGGAGACCTTGAGCTGGAGGAAGCCTCTTCTCTAAAACAGCATGGAGGAGCTATTGACTCTTTAAATGTGAACGATGCCTTGGGTGGGAGAGGTATGTCGAGCAGTCTAAGACAAGGCACTGCCCTGCAGAAGTCATCTGGGTCTGAAGAGAAGGAAGAGGAGGAGACATGGAAGAAAAAACATAAGAAAAGAAACAAGTGTACTGTCAACATGGACAGAGCAGATGGACACTCATCAGCTGAGCAGTTTAATGTGGATTTGCCTGAAGCAAATGCTAGGAAAACCATTCATTTGCCTTCTGGACAAATTCCAGGTGAGTTGTTGACTAGTTTAAAATATCAACAGTTTGAACAGTGCATTCATTAACGCAAATTATAATGGAACTGAAGGTGGCACGTTCATTAGTCACGGGAGTGAGTTATGGTTAGTGAGCCTGTCCTTGAAACTAATTGGAGGTTTGCCATTGACATTACCAAGAATAGGACCGGCCTCAGCAGCATGTCAGTGGATGGATGTTTTAAACATTATATATGGAAGGACCGGAGGGAAAAAAATCTACCTCTTGTGTTCGGTGCTAAAAGCAGTCGCTTGGCAGTTTGATCCATGTCAGGTGGTTTTTAGGATAACAGGTTAGGATTTCCCCATGTACAATATTTACAGTAGACCACTTTGATAATCGGTGCTAATGGATTCTCCACTGCCACTGAAAATAAATGTCGCCGTCCTAAGTGAGAAATTGACCCCTCTCCTTTAGTTTGTTCAGATAGATGCGATGCTTTCAAAGCCGGCATATTGAAAACCTACTGAATGTTCAAACACCGCAGTTTTGCAGAACAACTTTGCTCCTTCACTCAACAAGGATGACTGATATACTCATTGACATTCGCTGCCATGATGTTGACAGTGGACTAGTGGATCTTATGCTTAGGATGGTAAATGTCCACGAGTTATAAGGTTGATTAGTGACCGTGTACATTTTACACCTACGCCTGTAATTCTCTAACGAACGCTTGCAAAGCAGGGATCCATTGGTTTTAGGAAATCTTTGGTATGAGTTACAGAACGCACTTTTGACTGCGTTGCGCCGGTCTCTTCTAATAGCCCGGCTTTCTGCTGCATTTTACTTTTCAGTGAAGCAGCAGCTTTTGGAAAAACAATTCTGGCTGTTTAATTCAGGAGCTTCATTGTGCAGTGTGAAATAATCCATGCACCCAACAGCTGTTAAATAGGCTTCATTGTATTGCCTCATTACAGATGTAATGTCTGTGTTCTGCATGAAGCTGAGGCAGGCCACGCTTAAAGGGCTTGCATTGTCAAAATAGGTGGCGCGTACCACATATTTACTGTTAAACGGGTAAGATGTTCGTTTATCCTTGCTGCAAAACACCTGATACTTTCTCTAATGTAAGGGACTTAAGCATGAAGACTTTCTGTGGGGCTTCTCAGAGACGTGCTGGCTTTTGCTCCAGAGCCGAGGCTTCTAAACAGACCTATTTTTAAAGTTTGCACAATAGTCGCAACTATTCTCGCTCTTCAAGACAAACAGGATGTTAAGATCCCATTGTTTTTGAGCGCCACTGTAATGGCAGAGGTTCCTCGACATGCCAGCCTTTCTCTCCTATACGGTCTGTTTGTTTAGTTAGCCAAGGGCTCTTTCTGATCTGAAGCCCCTCATAAAAACAGGAACTGCTCTCTGGAATTGGCCTCTCCCCACTTGAGGGTTTAAGCAGAAATGGAGAGGAGCGCAGCAGCAGACACCTCTGTGCAAGCAAAGTTGGAAGAAGCATCTGCCCCCACGGGAGGGCTTGGTTGGTGTTCCCTGGCCAGGCCAGGCCTTGCCTCCCGGAGACCCTGCTGGAGTCCTCCTGCTGTCTCCTGGGCTGAGATGAGCACAAGGGCTGTTTTCCAGGTCCATCACTGAGTCATGATGATGCATTGAGCTTGGCTGAGAGATGACATCAGGATCTACCCCATAACTCAGAGCAATAACATTGTCTTGTGACTTTTTTACTATTTCTCTGCTTCCCAGAGGGGCCTTATCCTAACAAGAACCAAAACAAAATGCATCACTAGCAAAGGAGAGGTTTTTAAAGCAACACCTTAGGCTTTTACACTTGTCTCCTTCCCATAAATTTGTTTTCTAAGCCATGAAGTAAGTTGCAATAGATCTCTCAGCTTGCGCAATGAGGCCGCATTGGTTTAGGTATTGTTGTTTCCCTTCTGTTTTTCATGAGCTTAGTATAATGTATCTGGGATTTTGATGCTGCAGGACAATGTTTAATCTTACGTAGTCTTTGCCTCCCATCTCACGTGGAAATTCAAGAGTCAGCAAAACTTGCTGCTAATCTGTATATGTCTGAACGGGGTTTAAAATTAATAGTTGTATCTGAAGGATGGTGGGGAGATGGGGGTGGGCGATGTCCAAGTACCGTATTATCTTGCATATGGCACACCTCTGCTCTCCAAAATTCAGCTGATGCACATTAGAGTGCATATTACAAGTGAGGAAATACAGTAATAGCGGGTTCTGCCCTCGGGAGAGAGGGAGTGAAGTTGTGCATACTGCAGGCTGGGCTCCCTGTCTCCTGGCCGTGGACACTACTCTTGCCTTGCTCGCCTCCCCTGGCAGAGGCTCTCAAGGACAGATATTTTTTATTTTGTTCAGCCTTTCAAAATGAATGTATGCATCTTATTTGGGGATACATTGTGTATGAGAAAATACAGCATTTGATATTCTATATATATTGTACATATTTTATTATTTTGCCTTTTATAAGTGTGATGCCTGGGCATCTTTTGGTTGAAAGTCTAGCCATTAAAACCATAGGACAAAATCTTCAATCCTTTTCTGAGGCTTTTAATTAGGTTTTTAAATACAGACTTAGGCACCTAAAGAGAAGGAGCAGGATATGTCATAAGCGGTGAGCATCTGCAACATCTGTAGGAGCTGGGGTTCTCAAAACCTCTGGGAATTGGGTTCTGGCCGTGACAGTCAGTGACCTCTCGCATGGCACGTGGCTTCTCTAGCTGGGAAAGACTTGCCAGGCTAATGACACTATTGTCCATGGCTTGATCTTGGGGAAGAGTGTTGTCCCAATAAGGGGACATAGCTGAGCTGGGCATGGTAATACTCTGATGAATGCCGAGTGGAGATGACTCCTGAAAAAGATCCACTGTGGGGAAGCTCCTTCTCATTGCTCCTGTATGTCCTGGAAACCTTGTTCTATAAAAATGAAGATTATTTGCTACTCAGGCCTTTCTAGCTACCAGAATTAAGAGCTTACAGTAACCAATTAATAGTCTCTCCTTTATCCTTTTTTTTTTTCATACTGCTGATGGTAAGGCCTGTTTGTTTGTGTGCCCGGGTGGTTTGAATCGGCGTTCCTGGCACTGTGGTCCATGGGACTGCTTCTGTGACAATGGTGAAATATATCTACTTTCAGACCATGACGTTTCCCCTTGCATATTAATTCAGTTCAGGTTTTATGAGCTGGTCTCAAACAAGCACCTCTCTTCCTTTGTGCCTGCTTCATATGTTCTTTTGTTAACTGATCCCCAGCACAAACTTACCCACTTAAAAATTGGCAATGACCTTAAAATTGAAGGAGCTGTGAGTATGTCAGAGGTTACAATGGACCTGGAGGTTTTGGCTGTAAATTATACCTGGTTGATTGTAGGCTTTCGTAGCAAACTTTATAGAGTCCTTTGGCTAGAATATAGTTAAGGTAGAACAGCAAAGACACAAAATGGCTCAAGGTTGATTAGTATTAAAGGTCCCTTACTACAAGTCTGAGTTGACATTTGATGAAGCCATTTTCATAGTCTGCTAAACAAGTGTCTAGTGATGTGATTCTCATAATCAGCCTGGGAATGAGACACCGAGGCTGGATCCAGACGTGCAGGCACACGTTTCCCTGTGTGCCATTGCTGTTTGTCCCTGGGGAATGCCTGTGGATGTGTGCTCTGGCACATGGCATGGTGCCCTTGGTGGGGTAGGGGAAGCTGAGGCCAGCACTTGGGTTGGCCCCAGCAGCTGTACCTGGGATCCTAGGGGCCTCCTGGGGCTCTAGCAGTGGCGATTTGGCAGCAGGGATCCTGGCCGGCAGCTGGAGTGTGGCTCTGGCCAGCCTGGCTCTGGTTTTAGATAGTGCACACTGTCACCATGTGCACTGCACCAGTTTTTCTGCTGAGGGTTTTTTTGACACCAGGATCTCCCGGTGTCAGAAAACCGCTCGTGCTGCAAATTAGCAGTGCAGGGAACACCTGCACGTGCAGGATGTGGTGCCGCACCATCTGCGGTGCCGCATACTGCACTTGCGTGCTCGTCTGGACGTACTCTAAGGCTCAGACCTTTGCAGGCTTTCATCTGGGATTGGAGCTGGATAATGAGGACATCTGTAGTGGCAGGAGATAAGATTAGTGGAGAAATGGGAAACTTTAAGAGGGAAGCCATCACGGTTTGGAGCATAAGTTAATTGTATGGGCAGGTTCAAGCTAGAGCTTGCCCTTTCCCTTGAGGCTTTTGGTGATGCTGCAGTTGGAGACAGGACCTGGGCTAGCTGGGAGTTACCGCAGTGGGACAGACTAAGAGGAAGGTTCCTGTATTAAAGGCTAATGGGTGTTTTCACAAAAGTTCTCAAAGCATTAGAGGCATCTTTTTACATTTCCTAGCACCTGGTGCCGGTTTTACCACTGAAGATTGCTTCCATCCCAGCTCTGGTACCCTTCTTCTAGCTGGACACCAGCCAGGCTCTTGTGTTCAGATCCCACCATGCTGGAGCCAGGTGCTTCCCAGCTTCCCTCTGTCTCGGGAAGCTGCCACTTTGGCTCTGCCATGTTTCCTGGGCACACGCTCTCTGGCTACTGTGTCATGGAAATGGGACTTCCTGGTTCAGCTTCTTGGGCCTCCAGAGCCAGTGCTGGTGATCCAGGCTGCCCAGCAGCACTACGCTCAGCCTTTCCCAGAGCTCTAGGCTTGCGGGCACTGTGGGTTTGCAGTCCTACTCGCTGACGGCACCAATAATCACCCTTTAAGTAGCGCAAGCAGTGGCTAGATGTAGGCAGAACAGTGAAACTTCTGAATGTGTTTCCCTGCCTCAGTTTCCTTGCCTCTCTGGGGACTTTCTAGGGGGTTAGGTCAGGGTTCTCTCTCTCTCTTTCCCCTCCATGCATCTAGGTTTCTTCTTCCTCGATGGCCCCTTTGCTATGAAAGCAAATCTCCCTCTTGCTCCCCCCCACCTAGAGACCTCCTTTCTCTCTGGTTGTGTCACCGTGGGTGGGCTTTTGCACACAGCAGCTGCCCCAGGGAAGCTA